AATTAGTAAATCTCCTGATATTCCATTCCTAATCTGGCTCATGCATTTTTCTCCAAACCTATTCTAAAGGATCAACAGACTTCAGTTGATTAAGACTGACAAGAAAATTGCACTATCCACCTCATTGGAATAATGATTCTGATACGATATCATAATTCAGTTCACAAGGACATTAATTTCCTTTTCCTTCAACAAATGTCACATGAGACCATTACCTTCATGAAATCATATTAATTAGACCTAGTAAGGAAGAAGTATCGATGACTAAAGACTTATCAATAAAATACCTGGGTGATATTGGGTGGGAAAATAACCCAATAAAAATTCAATCATCTGTGTGATCATAAGGTGTCGATGGGATCAGGTATCAAGCATCAAAGAATAAAAAATCATATCATTGTGAATGAGCGGGAGTGCGGCATGGGGACCCAAAGTCTATCTGTAGGCAACTGGACATCCCCTTACAGAAGGATCGCAGGGAGGAGAGGAGTCAGTCAGTGTAGTGTACCAACCCTGAAAGATACAACTTTCCTCTAGTTCTTAAATGGTTGCCCCCCCCCTCCCCACTATCATGATTCCAATTCTACCTTACGAATCCAGCTAGACCAGAGGCTGTACACTGGTACAGATAGGAACTGGAAACACAGGGAATCCAGGACAGATGAATCCCTCAGGACCAGTGGTGAGAGTGACAATACCGGGAGGGTGAAGGGAAGGTGGGGTAGAAAGGAGGAACCGATTACAAGGATCTACATATAACCTTCTCTCTGGGGGACGGACAACAGAAAAGTGGGTGAAGGGAGACGTCGGACAGTGTAAGATACGACAAAATAATAGGAATTTATAAATTATCAAGGGTTCATGAGGGAGGGAGGGCAAGGAGGGAGGGGAAAAACGAGGAGCTGATACCAAGGGCTCAAGTAGAAAGCAAATGTTTTGAGAATGATGATGGCAACAAATGTACAAATGTGCTTGACACAATGGATGGATGGATGGATTATGATAAGAGTTGTAGGAACCCCGAATAAAATGATTTTTTTTAAAGAAAGAAAGGAAATGTTTAGAAAATAATGATGTCAACGTATGTACAAAAATGCTTGATACAATTGATGTATGGATTGTTATAAGAGATGAAAGAAAAAAAGAGCTGTAAGAGCCTCCAATAAAATGATCTCTTAATTAAAAAATAAAATAATTTAATCCTCTTTCAATTCTGTGACATTTCTAAGGATCCAGTGTTGTGGGGCTTGTGAAGATAATCCTATTAAGTGAAGGATAAGTTGTTGGATCTGACCCTTCCGAAAAGTGACCCAAAGCCCTTAGGGGCTCAGAATTTGGGTAGCGGTGTAACTCATTTGAATGGGGAACTGTTTATGGGAGTAGAAATCCCAGGTTTTTTCTCCCTCAGTTGCTGGTTGTTTCAAACTGCCTACAATGTAGCTCACAGCCCAACAATACCTAACAATGACATCACCAAGGATCCTCATGAACCATCAAGTAAATGTCTCGCTAATCTGTGGAGGCTTCACAAGTCTGAAATACATAGTCCAAATGTCCACGTGGAGACTTCTCACTCACATCAAATTCGGTTGTTGACATACAAGATTTCAGAAGCCAGTGAATCCTGTCAGGCAATAATCCGCTGGCTCAAGGCTCAGGAACCAGAAGGCAGTCAGAGGCCAGTCAGATGCAGGATCTTGAGTAAGAGAGCCATCTTTGCCAAAGTCGCTCAGCGCTGCTACAGACACACGAATGGCTTCAAGTGAAATAAGCAGGTCTTACTTCGTTAGCCAAGCAGAGGAGCACACAGGGACCCACATAACCCAGATGGCTAGTTGTCTTTGAGCATGGGAGCTGCCATCGAATTGCTATTTGTCACTGCGTGACAAAGGGACTAGTTTTTTGTGCAGGGTTAGTCAGAAAGGAGGTGGTCACAAAGACGGTGTCTTGCTACATATGGGATTTGGATGGAAGTGTGTTTTCTGACATTCTGATGCCCAAAGGTTAGGTAGAGGCCACACTGATCAACTCTGTGCAGGTTAGGTGGGCCAAGTATAGTCTCTGCCAGTTCTGTGACCCCAGTCTCCTGATTTTTTTTTTAATTAAGCAAAAAATTAGAGGTTGCTTATTGAGAGAACAGCTTTCAAAAGGAAGTTCGTTCTTATTTTAACACAGCTATCAAAGGTGAGAGCTCATTTGCAGGCCATACCCCAAAGGAAAGTAAGGGTGATGATTTGAGTCCTATCCTCTAGCAAGGCAGGGACTCCAGATATTTCCTACCTGAATCCTGCCCCCTTAGTAAAACAGATAACTCACTCCAAACTGGGGTTATAAACACAGGCATAGACGGTAGGGTTTTTAAGACATTACCAAACCAAAAACTATGGCTAAAAGAGGCATGAGGTGGGGGGTGAGAGCATTACTGTCAGGTAAGCATGTTGCTGCTAACTGCAAGGTTGGTGTCTCAAACATACCAGCTACCCTGTCAGGCGGGGGAGACGAGGCCATCTGTCCCTGTGAAGTGCTACAGCACACCGTCGTCCCTGATGAACACCATTCCTCCCTTCAGTATTCTCCCTCACATCCAACATCTCACAGAACTCACAAACTATCAAATAAGTGACTCACTCATTTGCAATTGGTAATTGTCCCCGATTGGTTGGTGTCTGAGTGGGCTCCAGCAGGGTGGAAGAGAGAGGCGGGTCTGAGCTTTGCCTTGTAGGAAGCATGCTTGGACAAACGAGAAGTTGGATTCTCTTTCCCCTCGCCTAGCTGGAGGAGGTCTTATGTCACTAACTGCATGAGAGTGGTCAAGCTAGGGTATGAAAGAAAGATATTCTTAGAAAGAGACTCTTGTTACAGGTGTCTTGTAATGTAAAGGGAGCCTGTGCCAAGGATATAATTAAAATAGTTCTAAAAGAGTCCTGAAGGCAGCCTTAGTCAAAGTTTCCTAGAAAGCTTAAAAGAGTTTTAACCACCATTTCTGGGGAAGAAGAGGTTAGGAGTGAAATACCCCAAACCAAACCCAGCCCAGGGCCAACAAGTCGATTCCAAAGTGAAAGGACTTGGTATGGTTCTTCTGTCCAGCGTCTTTGTAACTTCCATCAAGTGAACGGATGGATGGACTCTCACAGCTAATGGATAGCTGGGGATTAGCATGTGTTGGTTTTGCCATTTTGCTGGCTGTAACTGAACCATCTCGGAAACAACGCCAGAGCAGCCCAGGACACGAAGAAAGAAGAGCCATCAGCATAGAGTGCAAGATCCTGCACGAGATCTTTGTGGGAAGGGGTGACATTCAGCATGAACTGTCAGAGCACCCGAGGTGGCAGTGCGGAGACCTGGTGATGGATCAGTGGGCTACCCAGACCACAGGACAGAGGAAAGCTGAGGGCTGGTGGCAGGAGGCTGACTTATAAAGTGGAGTATCCTCTGGGCATTAACCAGTCCTAGAGGAGCTTGGTTAAGGGGCTCAAGCACAGAAAAGGCTACGGGAATAAGTGGCCTCCCCTGGTGTAGTGGGGAGAGGTCAAGTGTAATCACGACAATATTCCCTTACCTTTCCTGTAAGAGATGCGGCTAGGAATGGAAGCTGCTGGAATCAGTCACTGAAAACCAGTACGGTAAGTCTCTGTACCAAATCATCAAATTTATTCCCGCCCCTTAACCTATCTTCTTTGTGGCCTCAAAGACGAACCAATCAAGTGATTGTATTATAATCAGTTTATTCCTTGGACTATATCTGCTCTGTTTGGAAGCTCTTTCTTTAGAATTTTCTACTCTTTTCCCCCCTCTCTTTTTCATAACCAAATCCCAATAATCTCACTTAATGGATTGAGTGATATTTGTGGATGTTTTTATTATTATTATTTACTATAGCATAGTTTATGTAGACATGGCTGAGTACTTTAAGATTTTTTTTTAAGATCGTTTTTGCTGGAACTCAATCAAGCACTTTAAAGTTATTATTTTATTTAATTGTCTCCTCACAGCAATAAAAGCCTGAGACAGAGAGGTTAAGCAGATAGCTTTAGATTGCCATTACATGATAGAACTGTGGATCTAATTTAGATAAAACTCACTCAGGAGAGGATGAGACATGACTGGAGAGTGTCTCCTCTTGTTATTCACAGGGTCAGTACTACCTCAGTCAAGCGGGCTCAGTAGTACCTCAAACAGCAACAATGAACTAGAGAGACCATACTCATAAACGCTTCCTCATATCGTCTCTGGGAGCTTAGCACAATAGCAGCAGACACATCCCAGGTGACCCTTCGCTCCTGGATCTGGGGATGGAGTGACCGAATGGATAGCCTTTATTTTTATTAGTGTCCATGATTTCACGCCTGCTTTGGGAAGGGATGTGACTTTCTTTCACTTGCCCACTAGGCCAAATTCCTCCACATAATTTGTTTCATTTTAAATCTTCCATTTAGGAAATTGTATGTGGAAAGAATTTGAATGACTCGATACATCTTCAAGAGTCATGGTTATTGCTACTCCCATTCAGGGAGTGGGGAAGGGTGAGAAAGGGGGAATCCATCACAAGATTGGATATAAAGTGCCCCCCATCCCCCAAAGAAGACAAATAACAGAAATGTGGGTGAAGTGAGACAATAGACAGTATGATACAAAATAACAATACCAGAATCTAATTGATCAAGGATAAACGAATACGGGAAAGTTGGGAAGGAGAGGGGAAAGAAGAGCTTATAACAAGGGCTCAAGTAGAAAGTGTTTTGGAAATGGTGATGGCAACATATGTTCAAATGTGCTTGATACAATTGATGTATGGAATATTATAAGAGCTGTAAGCGCTCCCAATGAAATATTTTTTTAAAAAAAAGAATAACCATGATTATTATTAGTTGATTAACACTAAATTAACACTCTCATTTTGCTCCTATCAGCCCCAGCCTCTCTCACTTCCATGTCCTCTCATTCAACCGACCCTCCTGATGTTCTCCAACCCCAATCCCCACAAAAGAGAAACTCAACACTGAACAGGGGAAGTAGGTTTATCAATTCAAGCAGACTGCGGACCTGTGGGGTACAGCAAAGGTGACGGCGCTTTGAGGGGCATGCTCCTTCAGAGTGAGAACTCACAGACCGCCATGAAATTGGAATTGCAGGAGACGTCATTCCACTTGCCATCCTTGAGGAGGATGGTACAGTCTTCTCCATTCACGTCATTGGGCTCCCCATCATTCCAGTTTCTGTAGGACAGTGGTCTTCCTTTCAGATCCACAAAGTGACCTTCCTTGGCCTCATCAGTGATTCCCAGGTAAAGCTCTTCCCTGGCCAATTTCTGGATGGCCGCGTTCTCTGCAGCATTCATGGGGGTGGCCACAGAGCCCTGGTACTGGGCACACAGAGCCTTCACGCTTTGGAAAGTCATCTTTTCACCATTGGTCAAGAATAGCTTATTTCCAGCCATTTTCCCCAGCGCGAAGGTCAGCACTGAAATATAAAAAAGTAGGTGACAGGGCCTTTCCTTGAGACCCATCCTGAAGTGTTTCTCTACGTATAGATCACATTCAGTATGACAGTTAACTTTGAGTTTCAGGTCAATTCTTTTCAGTCCAAAGATGTCCTGTGACAAATTTGAAGCAAACCTACACTCGAATAATTACAACAATGAAACTTTCTTTTTACCTGAAAATTAAATTGAACTAGGTTTTATGTGTTTTCCTATGTTAAATCTCTCAAAATGATCCTTCAGAGGCCAATTAGCAGAAAGACCCTTGTTCTTTGGGGATCAGAATTTTTTGATCCACGTAGTTGAGAAACACCCGGAAACATAGCCTCTGGGCCAGAAGTCAGTGACCGAAGGGTCAACGGTCCCACTTTCAGGGGCCTCAGAGCAGAGTACACAGAATTTGCCAATTATTAGCTCCGCGCATTTGAGCAATTTTGTCATTTCTGTTTGCCTCCTTTGTGCCAAAGAGGAAGTTGTGAGGATTTCATAAATTCAGAACATACTGACATTCCTTTTCAAAAGTAAATGGCTTCAGTGAGTTTGTGTTACTTTCCCAAGCCCGCAGCTATCTGAAGAGTAAGAGGGAAGGCTTACACTTCTTGACTCGGTCCAGTTCTGATTGTAGCGCTTGTCTTTCTGAGGTGGCCAGGGCACTGTCGTAATCTGCAAAATTAAAGCAGGGCAAAGAAGCACAGTTGAGAGGGGATATGTAACTGTGTTATCTGTGGAGATGGGACTTTCCAACTCAAAAAAGTGGTCACTTTTCCTCTAAGACTTTATGTCCTCTGGTGAAGAATGCTGGGTTTACCCGCTCATACGTAATAAAAGACTGCCATATGCTCACTGTATTAGACAGTTGAGCTAAATACAATGCTTCCTAAGAATAAACATGCACATGACTTTGTTGTTCTCCTGAAAACCCTGCAGCATTAGCGGTCCATCTGCTTGCAGAAGGAGGATGCTGTGGACCTTTTTAAGGGAGCTCACACTGCTGTTAACACGGTCTCAAGTGCGTGACTTTATATTTGGCTTAATTTTTTCTCTTATTTGCCCTTGTATCCATGTCTTAAAAGTACACACCCAATGCAAGTGCTGGTGATGTATAAGAGAAAAGGGAGAGCAAGTGGAAATTTTAAAGTGATCAGAAAGAGGTGAAGCACCACTAGCCACTTGAACAGTTGTTAGGCTTCGTGTGTGTGTGTGTGTGTGTGTGTGTGTGTGTGTGTGTGTGACATTTACTCACAGTTAGCAGTACAAATCGCAACCCACTACCCCATCAGTGCTGTAGGCATTCAGCACTGGGTTTGTCTTGGTTTGTTTGCTTGCTTGCTTTGTTTTTCAAAGAAACAATTCTTAAGACAGTTTCTCAAAACTCAAACCCACTGCATCAAAGTGGATTAAAACAGAGAGCTACCTGCAGAACAGAGCAGAGCTGCTGCAGAGAGTTTCCAAGGCAGTAAATCTGTCCAGGAGCAGAGGCTCACTTTCTCTGGTAGATTGCCTCGTGGCTTTGAGCAGCCACTATGAGCAAGCCAATGCTGAAACTACTGTGCTATCATCAGGGCCTCTTTAAGATAGTTTACTTTTATGTATTCAAAATATATACATATTTATAAAAAGATACAAAAGAATAAAGGTCATGAGTAAAGATTAATACTATCATTCTGTCACTGTCTTACATGCCTGAAAAGACATTCCTGAGTTAAAATTATAACATACTGTACACAGATTCTCTTTCTTCAATATCACATTGGTTATTTTTATTATTCTTTCATTATTATTATGCACTTTATTGTTGTTTGAGATGGTTTAATATCCTTGGAAGAAAATTTTAAAGGTTTTCTATGCATTCCCACACTCTCCAGTCTGTGCCACCCTGCTGACTCCAGAGACTCCATAGGACAGAGTAGAACTGCTCTGATGAGTTTCTGAGACTATAACTTTTTAACAGAGTAGAGAGCCTCTTCTTTCTCCTGAGGAGTAGCTGGTGGCTTTGAACTGCTGACCTCCCATGTAGGTCCCAATGAGTAACCATTATGACACTGGGTCTCCTTCTATAGACACAGAAAGGTAAAATATATACTATAGTCATATACTAAGACAAACATCTAAATGGCATTAAATAACTCCTCCTAATTATTCCAACTTACCTACAAAGTTAAAGTACAGATTTAGGAAAGAATCTTGTTCATTGCCTGAAGATTGCCAGTGCTTGCTTATTGAAGGGAACAAGACAAAACACAGAGATTCTACAAAGAGAGGATGCGTATCTATTTTCACAGAGACAAAAACATCACTGTTTGCAATCTGTTGAACTCATCTAAAGATACTTTCTGCACACACACTTGTCCATACTCAATTCAAAACACACGCAGTCCCTGATTCCTTAGCATGGTGACTCTCCTTAAGCCATATTCTTCATTCATTTTTTTCCATATAAATTACCTTATCAAGGTGGAGAAGAAATATCTGGGGGAATTATTATAAGCTGATAAATACTGACTAAAAGATCTAAAGGTTTTTGTCTTTTGTAAATTTTATTTATTTATTTTTTACTGAATTCATTGTTTATTGTTTGTTCTGTGGATCAGTAAACCAAGATCTTGTGAGTTTTCCATGAACAAAGCAGGGAAGGAGTGCAACACGCTATGTGCATAGATGTACAATAGATATGTAGATGTGGGAAAATGGTCTCAATCAACTGCAGATCCTCATGTTAACAAATAAAATTTATTTCTTCATATCTTAATCTTGGCTGACTTGGTGACTTGCTTTTTGCCCACTAGGAAGTGGCAGAAGAAAGACATTATATATGTTCAGAACCTTCAGGAGACTCTGCAGGTTCTGCTACTCGGAACTTTATCAACATCCCCCTGTGGACAAGCCCGAGACACGCTGATGGAGAATGAGAGATCCTTGACGCAATGACCCTCATTGCTCCAACCCACAGCCCAACAAGAGTCATGTTTGTGAATGAGACCACTGATCATCAGTTGACCATAGTCACATGACTGAGCCCACCTGAGAACAGCAAAGAAACAACTTGGTTGCATCCAATCCAAAGTGCTGCACTACAGAATTGATATTTTGGGTTTATTTATATTTTTAATAGCCATTGTTTTAAGTCACTAAGTTTCATGATAGTTTGGTATCCAATAAAAATTGACCGGCATATCATGTATACTCTAAAAACAACCCAGCCAGTTCCTGGCAAGTCAATTCTGATTTGTTACAACCCCAGGGGTGCAGAGCAGAGATGCTCCAAAGGGTTTTCAAGGCTATGCCTTTTGGGAAGCAGTTTGCCAGGCCTTTCTTCCAAGGTATCCCTGGGTGGGATCAGTTAGTAGTGGAGCACTTAACTGTTTGCTCCACCCAGAAGCCCTCTTCTGATATTGTTGCTTCTCATTCTCTTGAATCAGAGCTTCATACTGGATTATCTCAGCTGAGGAAAGCCACGACCCAACTCCTCCGAATGATCGTGAAAGTTCTGTAAGTCTACACCAGAGGTTCTCAACCTGTGGGTCGCGACCCCTTTGGGTGTTGAATGACCCTTTCACAGGGGTCACCTGATTCATAACAGTAGCAAAATGACAGTTATGAAGTGGCAACAAAAATAATTTTATGGTTGGGGTGGGTCACCACAACATGAGGAACTGTATTAAAGGATCGCGACATTAGGATGGTTGAGAACCACTGGTCTACACGAAGGCACCAGTAAGAATCCCCTTGAGAGTGCTGCGGTCGCTGGGCATGAACACATTGCAGTGAGACAGCAGGAGAAGGTACGCGCTGCCCGGTAGTCAAGAACTATCTGCATCCTGCGTGTCCTCAGCCCAGATCTTCTTTGGCTGAGTTGCTTACCTGAGTCCTCTCCGGGATCTCCTTTTGGACCCCTGACTCCTGGCAACCCAGGAGGTCCTGGGCTTCCTGGAGGTCCCAGTTTCCCAGGAGGACCCTGCAATCCTCTGGTCCCTTGTCCTGTGTGAAAACACAAAGAACAGGACTCAGCACGTGTGTCCTTCCTCTGTTTCTCCAATGATTTGATGCCCAAGCTCTTCCCAGAAGAAAGGAGATATTGACTCAAGGCCAACTTTTATGAATCACTGTTTACAATGAGCTAGAGGTAACCTACAGAAGAAAGAACCACCCCTCCCCCATGTCCCGTGGGGTGGTAGAACTCCCATATGTCATCAGCTCTTCCGTGGAGGCCTGGATGCCAGACCTCTTGAGCCCTGTTTCTGTTTTGAGTCATAAGTGTAAAACACAAAACAAAACAAAAACTCACTGCAATCAAGTCGCTGCTGACTTATAACCCACCCTACATAGAACAGGGTGAATTGCACCACTGAATGTCCAAGACTGCAATTGTTCATGGGAGTCAAAAGTCCTGGTTTTCCACCCACAGAGAGGCAGGTGGTTTCAAACTGCTAACCTTGTAATTAGCAGCCCAGAATGTAGCCGCTATGCCACCAGGGCTCCTGTGTATGAGTAGAGTTAAGACAAATACAATCTGCCTAATTGCAATGTAGGACATCCTCACATTTCCAGGAAGTGTCTGCTGGAAGGTAGAGTCACCTGGACAGAGCAGCCCATCCTGTACCTGTTTCTCCCTTTTCGCCCTTGATGCCTGGGGAGCCACAGGTAACCACATGGCAGGTCTTTTGGGCATTTTCACAGGTTTCTTTTTCTGAGCAAGATGCGGTTATCACATTCAGGAGAAGGAGAGAGAGTGCAGAAAACAGGAACATTGTCCTCACCTTGGTGTGGGGAAAATCAAGGAAGATGGCATTATCCCATCTAGTCAAGAACACACAGTTACCAGAAGGACTTGTGTCCCGTGACTTGCACAGGACAGATCATTGGCCTCCAGACTTGGAAAGCAAATCATCCTGTAACATTATGTTATGAGTACTTTAAAAAAAAAAAAAGCTAAATGAAATGATCAGCAATGGGGGCCCAGGTAAAGGGACAAAAGGTCCTCCAGCCCCTGGTGTTGCTGCTGAACCACTGCCAGCATCCTTCCTCTATGAGAGAGCATGGGGTGACACCGTGCCGGCTCACATATGACAGTTGAGCTGGCGGTGAAAGGAGGTTTTTTGCGGGAGACCTGTCTTTTCTCATCCCATCTCTCTCTCTTACGCACTTCCCATCTTCATAGGCCATTCCCTTCCTGGGTGATCATTTACTGAGTGAGAAGTATGCCATCGTAGGCTAATGTTGCAGAAAGGAAATATCCAGATACAGACCCCAGATCAAGCTATTAACTTGAGTTTGCTTCTTCTTGATATTATTATTTTGTTTCATTTTCACTGTAAGGGAAGCTTGCATCCAAATAATGTTCACCAGAAGTTTATCAGTACCCTGGCCTGGACAGAGTGACAGATCCTTCTCTTATTCCTGTTCAGGATTCCCTGACTTCTGTGATTCAAACCTGGAATTCCACTCACCCCTGCTCCCACCAATTTCTCACTCATCATTCCACCTGTACTTTAGAGTTCCCTTCCAACAGTCACTGGCCTGGGAACTTCAGGAACCCAGGCCCATGAGCATAATGTTTCCTTCAATGTCCCCTTTGAAAACAAAGGCACAGTCTTATTTACAAGTCATTTGCCATATCTAGGGAAGTCACAGTTGCCCCAACACCAACAGAGAAAAAGATACCTTGGCCTTACTCTCGCTTGTCAGCCACCCTCCCACCACCCTCAGCAAGTCTCCTCTAGGCCTGAAAGTTGACCCCAATACCATTTGTGACTTACTGGAGCTTCTACAGAGCAGAGATGAAATCATAAGAAAACTGGCCTTCCAGCCTGGGGATGTGGTTGATGACACGGACGGAGGGAGGAAACTAGACTCAGATTGTGTGACCCAATCAGTTTGATGAAAAGGGATAGTGCTGGCCTGGCCTTCAACCCCTAGATTAATAAATAACCCTCCGGACTGCATTAAACTCCTTCTCAGTGAATTCCCCAGGGATATCCTGCACAATAGTAAGCTACATGATTTTCTGATCCAACATGGACAGTACCAGTCCATTTCAGGTCACTAACACCTGGAATACCAACCGATGTGCTCCCATTCATTTTTAATCCCTTTTCATTTTCTTACATACATACTTAGAATATTCCAAGTCCTAATTACTAATTGGTGCTCACAGTAGTTTCTTCTCATTGTATGTCATGCCCTATCAACACACGAAGGTCTCTAAGGCTTGGCGCCCACAGATTTGACTCTATCTGCATCATCATGGTTGACTCTACACTGAGAAGAGTCATATTTGGAGTGCCTTTCACTTGAGGGGCTGATCTCTGGCACTGTCTCTGACAATGTGCTGCTTCTACTCCCCAGGTGTTCAGTAACAGTTGATGTTTCGATGCTATTCATACGGTTTTCACTGACAAACTACTCAGCAGCAGAGAGCCACTTCCTGCTTTGTAGTTTGTTCTTAATAGGAAAGTTCTGCTGAAACCGGTTCATGACCCTGCTAGTGTTTGTATGACCCTGCTAGTATTTGAAATTCCAGTCATCACTTTCGGTATCTGGGCTAATAGGAAACATCGTGTTAAAAAATTGAAGTTGTCAGAGATTTCATCTTGCTTAGATCCATAATCAATGCTCAAGGAAGCAGCAGTCTAGAGTGTTAAAGTGTTAAAAAGCAAGGATGTTAATATGAGGATTAAGGTAAATCTAACCCAAGCCAAGGCATTTTCAATTGCCTCAAACGCACGTGTAAGTTGGACATCAAATAAGGAAGACCCTGCAGAATAGTTGTATTTGAACTATCGTGTTGGGTAAGAATACTGAAAGTACCATGCACTGCCAAAGAACAAACAAATCTCTTAGAAGATGTACAGCGAGAGAACTCCTTGAAGCAAGGTTGGGGAGACTTTGTCTCACATACTTAGGACATGTTATCAGGAGAGACCTATTCCTGGAGAAGTACATTGTGCTTGGTAAAGTGGAGGGGCAGCACAAAAGAGGAAGGTCTTTGACAAGATGGATTGACACAGTGGCTGTGTGTTAGTTAGTGTTGACTAGAGAAACAAATTCAGTGTGCAAGAGAGAACTTACACACTCTTACACACAAATATGTGTAAGAGAGAACTTACAGCAAAGAGCAATTATTCATTAAGAAAACATCCCAGCCCAGTCAAGGTCAAGTCCATAAATCAGATATTAGCTCATATGTCCATTACCAGTCTGCAAATTCTTCTTCAGACTCACGCAACACATGCAATGACACCAAATGCAGGAAGAAATATCATAAGCCAGTGGGTAGAAAGTCTTGTGGACCCAGTGGCAGTGGAAGCCTCTAAGCGCTGGCATGGGTCTCCATGTGGCTCCTCCAACTCCAGGGCTCTGGCTCGATAATGTAGCACATCTGGCGTGTCAGCAGTAAGATGAAACTGAAACAGAGTGTGTCTGGCCTCCAGTGAGTTATTTATTTCCATCACACCTCCAAATGAGGTCATCAAGTTGTGGCCTGATTGACAGTCTAGATTCCACCTCTTTGCAAGTTGACAGAAAATTATGGAACTACCACAGGCTATAACAATTAGGTGAAGCATAGAAACAATTGTGAGATTGCCCAGAACCAGGTGGTATTTTTTAAAAATCATTTTATTGGGGGTTCATACAACTTTTATCGCAATCCATATATACATCCATTGTGTCGAGCACATTTGTACATTTGTTGCCCTCATCATTCTCAAAACATTTGCTTTCCACTTGAGCCCTTGGTATCAGCTCCTCTATTTTCCCCCTCCCTCCCTGCTTTCCCCTCCCTCATGAACCCTTGATAATTTATAAATTATTATTATTTTGTCATATCTTACACTGCCCGATGTCTCCCTACACCCACTTTACTGTTGTCCATCCCCCAGAGAGGAGGTTATATAGAGATCCTTGTAATCGGTTTCTTCTTTCTACCCCACCTTCCCTCTACCCTCCTGATATCACCCCTCTCACCACTGGTCCTGATGTGTTCATCTGTCCTGGATTCCCGGTGTTTCTAGTTCCTATCTGCACCGTGTACATCCTCTGGTCTAGCCAGGTTTGTAAGGTAGAATTGGGACCATGATAGTGGGGCGGTGTGTGTGTGTGTGTGTGTGTGTGTGTGTGTGTGTAGCATTTAAGAACTTGAGGAAAGTTGTGTGTTCCATCGATGCTACACTGCACCATGAGTGACTCATCTCCCTACACTACCGCTCTCCAAAGGGATGTCCAGTTGCCTACAGATGGGCCTTGGGTCCCCCCCACACACACACACACTCCCCCTCATTCACGATTATATTAAATTTTTGTTCTTTGGTGCTTGATACCTGATCCCTTCAAGACTTCGTGATCACACAGACAGGTATGCTTCTTCCATGTGGGCATTATTGCTTCTGGCCTAGATGGCCGCTTGTTTATCTTCAAGTCTTTAAGACCCCAAATGCTCTATGTCTCCATAGCCGGGCAGCATCAGCCTTCTTCACCACACTTGCTTATGCCATATGTTTCTTCAGCATTTGTGTGGGGTGAGCACACATGATGATTTTTTGTTCTTTGATATCTGCTACCTGATCCCTTCTACAACTTGTGATCACACAGGCTGGTGTGTTTCTTTGATGTGGGCTTTGTTGCTTCTCAACTAGATGGCCGCTTGTTTACTTTCAAGCCTTTAAGACCCCAGACGCTAAATCTTTTGATAGCCGGGCACCATCAGCTTTCTTCACCACATTTGCTTATGCATACATTTATCTTCAGCGATCATGTCAGGAAGGTGAGCATCATGGAATATTCATTTAATAGAACAATGTGTTCTCGTATTAAGGGAGTACTTGAGTGGAGGCCCAATGTCCATCTGCTACCTTAATACTAAACCTATAAATATAAGCACATAGATCTATTCCCCCATCATCATGTATAAATGTATTTACATATATACATGCCTGTATTTAGGCCTCTATATATGCCCCTTGCCTCCTAGTTCTTTCTTCTATTTCCTTTTACTTTCCTCTTGTCCCACTATCATGCTCAGCCTTCATTTAGGTTACAGTAATTCCTCTCGGTTACATTGCCCTTGATCACTGCCTACCAGGTCTCCCCCATCCCACCCCCTCACTCCTTGCCACTGGTTTTGAATCACTCGATGTTCCCTTGTCCCTGTTGAATCACTCGATGTTCCCTTGTCCCTGGGTTGGTTAATGCCACTTCCTCCCCCCCGCCCCCCGTCTCCCCCTCTCCCATGTCCCCCAGAACCATCGGTCCCGTTGTTTTCTTCTCCACATTGCTTATCCAGTCTGTCTTACCGAGATAGACCTACAGAAATAATAATATGCACATAGAAATAAGACAGTGCCAAACAAAGTGACACAGAAAAACAAAACGAAGACAGCAACAACAACAACAAAGCCAATGACATTCAAAATAAAAAATAAAAAGTAAAAGAAAGAAAGAAAAGCCTGTAAATAGTTCAAGGTCTGTTTGTTGACATTTAGGAGTGCTTTCCTGTTGAGTCTAATGGGGTGCCACATCCTGGCCCCAAAGTCTATTCTGATATTCCCTTGGGACTTCCTTGTTCTGTTCCCCTTGCTGTTCTATTGTGCGCCCTAAGTATTTTGCCTTGGTGTGGTGGAGCCGGCTCAGGCACAAATCCCATACTATGTCTCCAGTGTTGTCCCATGTAGTGCTATGGGTCAGTGCAGGATGTCATGCTTTGTAGTGGGACTGGCCATATGGTCCTTCTGTGCATTGGCTGTTCTGAGCAGGGCTATTGTTCTCAGGGCTTGGTGGGCCAGGGTGTGCTCTGCTCCTTTCCTCCCCTCTTCATTTGCTTCCACTTCCGTGTGGGTATGGTGGGTCGGTTCCTTTCCCTCACCAGAGGGTCTATGGTCATTCTCTGTGGCACACCCTTCCAGGGTGGGGGTCAGACTGGTTCTGGTTGGGGCTGGCCCTATAGTCCAGTCTTTTCATGGATTCCTCCACGTGTTACATTGCCCTCCTGGTTTGGCACATCATGGTGGGGTCTGTGTGAACACTCCAATTCTGTGGGAACACAACCAATACTCTCCCCCTGGGTGGGTCAGTGTCCTGTTACCCCCCATGTCATCATCTCAGTTTCTCCCCACCCCCATTCACCCTCCTCCTTCCCCCTTTCCCCTTCTTTATGTTGGACTCACATGTACCTCCCTGGGTGTGGTCTGACCACCCCCCCGAACCAGGTGGTATTTGGTTATGTGGTCCATCAGGTAGCTATGAGCCAGAACCAATTTGAAGTTCCTGAGAACAAAACCATCCCGTACAATGCTTAGCCACTGTAATCCAAACCAACATTTCTTTTTCCCATGCCACTCATTTTTATATTTCTCATTCCATGGCTGGTCATATTGACCTCCTTGTTCCTACCAGATATGTATGTACATGTGTGTGTGTCTATGAGGGTATGTATAAGTACATCAATTAGACACATAAATGTCCATGTGTACACACACACATACTTGTCCATGAAGGCACAGCAGAATTCTTACTATTTTGAGGACCTTCCTCAAGTCATTCTCTCTGTCTAGTTCTCTCCAATGCATCTCTGGCTGTTCTATCTCCTCAAATAGTCTTGCCTCCAAGAAGCCTGTCTTTATCAGTATACTTTATCAGTATACATAGCCCCACCTAGTATGTCTCTATTCTCTTAGTTTGCCATATTTCCTGTCTTTACACAATACACTGCATGATATTATATCTTAGCCATTTCCATTTGTACCAATCAATTTTCTGCCCCTGCTCTTTCCACTGAAAGCTATATGAGTATATAATTCTTGATGTTAGCTTTCCCGTGTTGTTTCTTCCCCTTGAACAGAAGCAGAAATGTAAGAGAGGC